AAGTGGAAATTCTCACTTATATTTTACGGTCCTCTATTTTTAAACAGCTGTTAAACCCACTGGAGACCGTGGACGCAGTAGGATTACAATCTGCTCGAAGGCGTGCAGAGGCGAGCAACAAAATTAATAAGAGGCCAAGGTGCACTGCCATACGAGATCCGCCTAACTAACCCTAATCTGTGTCCTCTGAGTTATAGGCAGTTGCGCGGAGACTCGGTACCAACTTTCCGTATCGCGCGTGGCTTGGGATGCGTCCTTCGGTGCGACGAAGTCCTCAAACTCGCCACTACAACTGACCTCCGGAGACATCCCTTCAAGCTACGTGTGCCCCAGAGTAGATTGAATGTGAGAAAGTATTTCTTCTCCAACCGTGTCTTGGAACCGTGGAAAAACCTGCCCGAGACGACTGCTATGACGCAGCCTATGGAGACATTTGAATGTCGACTTGGCAGACATATGCTGCAGCAACAGGCGAACTATGTGACTTTTTAGCCATGAGACCAGAAACCTGTGTGAATCAATGTCTACATTCACTTAATGCTGTAATTCCTTCCCATTTTGCTTATTTTATCGATTTTTCAGGTACAAATAGGGAGTTCAAAGGCGTAAGCCTATTTCCCTCAAATACATTGACTGGCTGACTGACTGCTTGAGGAGGACGTCTTAACTAGACTGAATAGCTCTGTTGTTCTAAACTAACGTTTTGCATGCGCCTACCGCTAATGCGGATGATTGTTGCTTTATTTTATCATTATCATCTACAACTTAGTGTTCCCATGCGTCATTCTGCAATTTCAATGACAAAATTCTGCACAATGTATGTGTTACGGGACCCATTTTAGTGGCCGTTTGGTTGGATGCCTAATATTGTATGCGCCTCTTTCAATAGAGTCTCTGTAAGCGTTGCATTTTACTAATAAATATACTAAACTTTACTGAGCTATTTAGCGCTTGCCAACTTGTTCTAAAATTTGCTTAAAAAATTTACTTTTACACACCATTAAATTACCCCTGGGGGTAATAAACATAAAAATTTATTTATATTGCCTGCGCAGATGCGGCCAATATACTTCAGATATTATATACACAAGTATGAAATGGCATTACTAGCAAAATATTTCAAAATTGGACTGGGCAGGAAAACGCAACATATGGAATGTTTGAAAAAATGGACATACGAGAATTTACTGTTTTTAAAAGCCGTAGGCATAGATAAAGCAGTTTCCGATAAAACGATGAGGTCGAAAAATTATATCGGGTACATGGGATACCACAAATATGTGCATAGCACGGAGATCGCGCTTCAGTAAAAATCCTTTGCGGACGAGCTTGGACAGATGATAATATTCGGTTTGTTTATGTCTTCATACCGGCGATCCCTACCGGTGTTTTCATTCGCCACCGCACACTAGAGTACAAACGTTTAACTGTAAGGGTAATCTGTAATTCCGTAGGCGACCCAAGATCGTTCGGACAGTCTTTCCATTGAAACAATATCGTGCCTGAAATGTCTGAGTAAACAGCTTTATGAAACACTGCTTACGTGTTGGCATGGAAGGGGATAGAGAATCGGCCCAAATGCTGGCGAAATACGCGTTCGGTAAGTTAAACGCGGCTTGTGTTAGCAAAACTTGGGCCAGAAAATAACATGAAACAGCATCCATTCCAGCACACTGCAGTCCGCCAGCATTCTAAAAGTCTAAAATGTTCGCCGTCGCTTAAATAGTTAAATAATCAGCACCTCAGGAAGGGGGATAGCCCTGGTTGTCCGAGATCTAGTGCACTACAGGCTTCATACTGCAACTCTCATAGGGGCCAAGTTCACCGAATAAGGACAAATGAATGATGCGGATGCCGGGTACAGCTTGTCCTGGAGAGAATGCCCAAAGGCAGAGTAACATGGTAGCTGGCTTCTTAATTTACAACACCCATGTGAGACGGCTATACTGCCTCCAACAGAGGATATGGAATGGTCGCGTTGCAACAAAGCTGCCCCTGCGAGGAAAAATTGTCATCATCATCCCGTTCTACGCCTCGCCAATGACAGGTTCATCTGACACGAAATTCGAGTTCTAGAGAATGTAAGCACTTCCTGCGAACGTATCAAATGCTAGCATATGGATAGTCATTGGTGATTTCCATGCTCAACACAGTCGACACAAGTATCCCGGAGTGTTTGCTGACAAGCTGTATGGGTGTGGTAATACCAGAGGCAAAAATAAAAGCCATGCAAGTATTTGTAGGTAACATAAGCTTGCGCGCACCCCAGCAAGAATTCAACTCGCCTGAGTAGTCAGAACACAGTGCGTGTTAAGACACGGAAGGAAGGAAGGAAGGACAGGAAGAGAGGTGGTTCGGGGAACAAGAAGTTTATTGGTAACTTGCGAACACGAGGATTTACAACTCGTCAGAAAGGTGCACTATTCATGTTGCCGCTGTGCGTTCTGGAACATTCTGCCCAGTGGCGTGCCAGCCGTTAGGGGTGTACCAGAATTTTCCTACCCAGGGTGTGCTGGTCGCTGGGTGTCCACCGCGTGCGCGATAGTCACCCCGCGGAAAGGTTTGGAATGTTCGACCAGCCATTGATTGGGCCGCGCTCATGAGCGAAGCCACCACACGTGCTCGGCGCTGCAGTGCACGCCGGTCGGCCGTCAAACTTCACGCGTGTCTCACAACGCCGGCTTGGTTCCCTGTTCAGCGCCTTAGGCCGTGGCTCCACATCGCTTGCACTGTCCATAGCAGTGTGGTTCCACAAACTCAGCTTAATGGTCTTTGAAATTACCCATCTACCCCAAACACCTGCAAGGAGTATTTCCTAACGCATGCTCTATATTCAAGGAAGCAATTCGTAACTTAGATAATCGACAATAAATAAAAAAGCAATGGATTATCTCAGCGAGTGCACCAAAGTGGCAGTTTCTCGTTAAGAATCCGGAGGTAAACTTAGTAATGCTTTAATGTCCAGTGCCAGGATTTGAGACTATTCTGCTGACTGCGCTAGTCGTGACCCAAGAGTTCTTACTTCCGCCAGTCGAGAACCACTGAAATTATGAAAGCATGCCATCAAAACTCGGAGGCAATTTGTTAATACAAAATACGATATTTCTCCGAGGATAAATCATTTATGCAGTAAATCGAAATCCACACAATCGCGCGATGCTCATGTATGTTGGATGGCATGAAGTTTTGGACTGTTCACAGGTACAGAGCTGGCGTTTGTTCACCACATTTAATTGAACACGTGAGAATGATTGAGTTCGCCCTAAATTCCAACGTTATAACAGGAGTGTCTGCGCACTGATCTTTTAGAAACCGAAGGGATGGTCCAAGTTAGAGATGATGCGGTACACACTATGTATTCCCAACTACTTGGTGGGGCGGTCATCACAGAAGTCAAACGTACGTCGTGGCACTAATTGTCGCACGTGTTCGGCAATTATGTTCTTCGCAGTCCCAACCAAAGCCCAAAGAGGCTAATTTAAAAAGTTACCTTAGTCCCTACGTTTTGATTATACACAAGTTTTGGTTCATCTTTGGGATCAAGGTCGTCACTTCTGGCAGGGGTAACAACCACCTGATTCACTACCTTGCAGAATTGCTCGTTGACGCGGCAGTACTTTAAACTACCCTTTTCCTTTCCATACAGCAGTGCCTTAGTGACACTAATTTGGAAAATGCTGCAGTATTTCTCTAACGATATTTGTTGGTTTTTGCTTGTCTTTCAACTTCTAGGTTTTTCTTCGCTTACTGTTTGTTTTTTACTTTTCGCTCTTCTTTTTTAACTTAAACGTTTTTTTGTGAACTTTTCTCTTGCCTTTAACTGTTGGGAGTTTGTGTTCTCGATATGCTGTACCCCTGATCACAATTCTATAGATTTACACCGATCACTCTGGGGCTTTGCTTGCTTTGTACATCTCCATAGATTGTAGACAAATGCAGCCGGTTGCTTACGCATATTTAACTTTCATATGAATTTATGTTTTCACACTGATTGGCGGGTTCTACCGTATTTTATTTCACCAATTTTTTGCCAAACGTCCGAACAATAGGCTTGTCACGAACCTACCCTGTCAACGGTACCTTTTTGCCCCTCAATACTTTTATTTCCTTTTTCAGGGCCACGTCCAACGCCCACGAACAACCAGAACAACCAGCGCGACTCGTTTCCGATCCCGCGTATTGATGACACTATCGACGCATTAGTCGGTGCGTTTTGGTTCGCCAGCCTCGACCTCTCTCATAGTTACTGGCAGATAGAGGTCCGACCGGAGCACCGTCACAAGACGGCGTTCATCCTCCCCACCGGGCTCTACCAATTTAACACTCTGCCCATGGGTCTTGCGAATGCCACAGCCACGTGTCAAAGGTTGATGCAGTTCGTCCTGAGAAACCTATTACCACAGTCCTGTCTCGTCTATTTGGATGACATTATTATCCACGGCAAGTCTGTCAGCCACCTCCTCCAAAACTTGAGCCTAGTACTCCAAGAATTACAGGCAGCAGGACTTACGATTAACCCCAAGAAGTGCCATTTCCTACAACGACAAGTGACCTACCTTGGACACGTAGTAGACGAAACTGGCATCACCCCTGATCCGGAGAAAATTCGGCAGGTACTCGACTGGCCGACACCACAATCACAAACGGATGTACGGTCGTTCTTGGGATTGGCTTCCTAGTACCGTCGTTTCATTTACGGTTTCGCGAATATCGCCCTTCCGCTACATCGCTTAACGGAAAAGGGTCGTTCTTTTGTGTGGACGGCAGAATGTACACAAGCCTTCTTAACCCTCAAAAACGCTCTAACTTCCGCCCCCATCCTTGCGCTCCCAGATGGTGACGTGTAAAGCCCACCCTTCATCCACGATACTGACGCCAGCGGATTTGCTATTGGCGCAGTCCTCAGCCAGATCGCTGCGGATGGACATGAGCACGTAATAGCGTACGCCAGTCAATGTTTGGACAAGGTGCAACGGCATTACAGTACCACACGGCGGGAAATGCTAGCCCTCGTCACCTTTGTCAAGAAATTCCGACACTTGCTGCTCGCCAAACACTTCATCGTCCGCACCGACCACCAAGCCCTCAAATGGCTCCGGAATTTTAAGGATGCAGAAGGACAAGTCGCCAGATGGCGGGAGCTACTTGAAGAATTTGACTTTGAAGTTCAATATCGCCCTGGGAAACGTCACAATAACGCCGACACTCTCTCCCGTCCACCACTCCCCCCGACGAGGACACCGAACGACGCCTTTCCTGTGGCAGCTATCCAAATATCACAGGCAGCCCAGGAGCAATGGGCTCAAATGCAAGCGTCCGATCCCAATGTATCCCTCATCTATGATCGCCAGTTACATGGATCCCCTAAACCCACCGCCCGCGAAATGGAGAGCCTCAGCTGGGAGGCCCATTGTCTCTGGTCTATGTGGCCCTTCCTCCGTCTAATCGACAACATCTTGTTCTTCCAGCATCACCCCTCTCATCCCAACCGTCTAGTGGTCCCTCGCACTCTTAGGCCCCAAGTCATCCGTGCTACCCATGAAGAACTGGCACATTGCGGGCAAGCCAAGACACTCGCCGCGGTTCCTCAACGATATTGGTGGCCCGATCAGCGACGCGACGTAGTTTCTGTCTGTCAGACGTGTCAAACTTGCGCTCAAATCAAGGACCCTGTAGTCCGTCCCCGGGCGCCACTGGAACCAATGTCGGCAGGCTTTCCCAACCACCGCATCGGCTTAGACATCATCGGACCTTTATTTCAGACTAAGAAAGGCAATCGCTTCATTTTGGTTATCGTCGACTATTTCACGAAATGGTGCGAAGCCATCCCACTCCCAAATTCGGAAAGTTTAACTGTAGCAGCGGCTCTAGTCGATCACTGGATCGCTCGCTATGGGTCCCCCTACATCATCCACACGGATCAAGGAACCGCCTTCGAAAACCACCTATTCCGTGCCCTATGTCACCTCCTCGGCATAGTCAAAACGCGCTCCTCACCTTTCCACCCAGCCGGGAACGGTCAGACGGAACGCACGAACAAGACTCTCGTGGCGTTCCTCCGCAGCATGGTTGATCAGTCCCGTGCAGATTCCTGGGACGATCTTCTTCCCCGATGCCTTTTGGCCTACCGCGCCACCACTCACTCCTCCACTTCATTTAGCCCCCACATGATGCTTTTCGGACGCGACCTGCGCCTCCCGTCTGACGTAACTATCCCACACAGCACCCCGGAAATGGCACAACCACACCGGTATCTCGAGCAGCTCATTGACTCCCTACAAACCATCCACACCACAGCCAGAACGAAGTTTCAGGCTGCACACTCCCACCAGAAGGATTATTATGACCATCTGGCACACGGAACTCAATACGAACCCGGCGACCGTGTTTGGTTGCACAACGACCAACCCCCCGCCGGGTATGCCAGTAAGTTTCATCGTCAGTGGTCTGGACCCTATATCGTCCTTCGACCGCTCTCAAATTCCGTCTGCCGCATTCGCCTAGAATCTGATCCCTTCGGCCGGATTATCCAGGTGCATTTCAATCGGCTCGAACCATGTTTATCAGAGCATCAGCCCTCCCAACACCCCGTTCCATCGACCTCCCACCCAACCACATCCCTCACCACCCTTTACACTCCACCAGCACCCCGCAACGTCATTCTTCGTACAACTCGCGCTGAGGACAGCGCTCAATCCTGATGGGGGGCAGTGTCACGAACCTACCCTGTCAACGGTACCTTTTTGCCCCTCAATACTTTTATTTCCTTTTTCAGGGCCACGTCCAACGCCCACGAACAACCAGAACAACCACCAGGGTCCCGCTAATGACCAATTTGTCTAATGTCTCCCCTTGTTTATGCAGCCGGCTGCGTTCCCCCCTTTCGTAATCTCATTGTTAGGATTCAAACTACTCTTATCCGTTTTCTCCCCTGCTTCCGTACCCCTTTATTATCTAACCCGTTATTATAATAGTATCCCATTCAGACTATATCCTTCTAATGTTTGATGTGTGGCGTCTGCATGCCGATCACTGAGGTTCTAATACTCAGTCCTCCGTAGGTCGTCACAGGCTTTATGGCAGTGTCGGCACAGTTTCCCGAAAATCGGCTCTATATTGCTTTGAAATCTTAAGTTTTTGCTAGCACACGGAGATTACTTACACGGATTAAGTGGGCTTTTATAAAAATTCGAGTTTCACAGATCTTCAAGCCTTTCGTCAATGTCTAAGTCCTGGATTCCTTAACCTGCGTAACTCAAGGTCGCACTGGCCTCCCTATCGTCTCGCGTGCGCGGTGAGGATCTGCAGGTGTGCGAGTCGTTTTTAAATGGCCCTTTTTCATCACGGTCTAGCCTTTTTTCCGCATACGTTGTCATTTTTATGAATTCCCAACCTATCCATGTATGTGCACGACCGTTGTCCCTTGTGGTTATAATGGGTAATATTATCGCCTCAAGACTGTGTGGATATCCACACAGTCTAACCGCTGTGTTTATATAAACACAGGTTAATATAGAGTACTCGGGATATATTCCAAATGAGGAGTGACTAAATAGGGCCGGTAAATATGCCGTCACGAGAATTGAGATGAACACATCATGCAAGAAGCCTAAATTAACATAGGAGATAAACTTTTAACGGAAAGGAGTTAAGATATAATAAAGCGGTAGAAACTCCAAATAATAAGTGAAATGATATTATGAAAGCTTAGAGACGGCTCGCCTGCATGGCAGACTACACCATCATCCCTGCTTAACAGCCGATGAGAACTGCAATCCCGTGCGCAACTTCAGCGTAGGGCCGTTCGGGGGTATATTATGGAAAGCGGAGTGCGTTGCAGTGACACGCGGTTACCGTTCCCATCCTGGATCCCGCGAAAAGTAATTGAAGCCTGTTCAAACGATCTCGTCGACTCCGTGGTCTCTTGCAAATGGTGGAATGCTCAATGCACCGTGATAAGGGTGCTTCGACTCGACATACTGTTTTTGGGGAACAACCGCCTCGAAACTAGGTTGGCCAGTCCTCAACCTGAAGTCTGTTAATATTTTTAGCTTTAAAGTTGCGAAAATTCCGACTGATCATTCCAGAAGAGCATTTGGCGAGCATACGCATGCTTTCGATAAATTCTCATCGGGCCTGCACATTTATATGGGACGAGGTACAAACTGAAACATGTGAGCGATAAGACCAATCGATTAAGGTTCGACTTTTCATACAAACGAGATATGTGAATAGAGGAGGGAAGAGGGGGGGGGGAAAGGAGGCAGTAAGTGACAGAAAGGGTTAGACGGAGCCATGTCACATGAGGAGAGGTATGGGACGAGGGTGCGGAGACATTGCGTACAGTTAATCGATCCTTGCCCACTGTAGGCGCGAAGCGTGCGAGAGGTCCTTCTGCGCGCACGGGACCGACCTCTGTAGCCTGATGGCGGTCGCTTTTGCTGCTGCTAGTAAGCACTGACCCAGCTTTCTTGTTTTTCGATATATTGAATTAATAACTAATGTATATTTGTAGAGTCTCGGAAGGCAGCTATTCTTATAAGTGGGAGGGATCATACGAGTGAAGTTTGCAGGCACGTATCTCTTCCCCTAACAGGTGTGCAACCAGTTTCTGCAGCTTGAAAGTTGGATAAGAGAGCTAAGATCTTAAGGTGCATACAATTAGGGACTTATTATCTGTACTATGTCATACAAGCAAATGTTTGCGAGTCGTTGTCTACGAGGTGTCTTCTACCTTCCGACATATAGTATCAAAGGTGAAGTTCACACAAACGTGCTCACATTAGAACCCGCTAGCTCTGTAACATATAAGCCTACAGTAATGATTAGAGTTATCATCATATTACATTGGAAATTGACAGATATCGAGATTAACAGCAGAAGGCGCCATGCGGCCTCAACCAACGCATGTTGTGTGACATAATTATTCCTCCCGATTGATATTAATGACTTTTATTCCTGGGTAACGATTTTCCTTTTGCTGTTTTCTGCTATTTTCTGTTGTCTGCATAATTTTTTGCACTGAAGAGTGAAAAATCAGTCAGAGTATATATAAGCTTATGGTATTGTCCCAATACCGTCTAAGATATGGGAATCGTGTATTAAATAAATTAAACCCGAACTGTGAATCAGTTGATCATACAGAGGATTTCCATTAGTCGGGCGTGTAATAAGTCGTTGTAATGACAGTTGGAAAAAGCACTCTATTAAGATAGTACGAACAAAATAGACCGAAAAATCAGGATAAAGACGTCCTCTAGAATGGGGCCTTTTTAATATTACAGTTGACTAAAAAAAGAAGCAGAAAAACAGTTTGATCGGCACATAAGTTAGCATTACATTCTCTCTGACCAACAGAGATCAATTTGTCGACAAATCTGGTGGTGGGAGGGGAGTTCGCATGTGACGAATGCTAGACACTCTTGTTGTAAAGGCAGTGTGGATGAACGAGTTTTTGTTGCTTTTGTTGTTTGACCAGTTCATGCATACGGACATAGTCATAGTTATGGGCGTTAACAGATGCCACAGCGTTCTGCTTGTCAGCCCGAATTGGTGTCGATTTTCTGCTCGGCGCTAGGTGAGTGGTCAAGGGAAAACTGGATGGGGTCTTAGCGTAAGGTCTTGTCCGTCTCCAGATGACAATCATCAATATCATTTTTCGCTCCGGGCGAAAGAAGTCGAACAAATACGATCTCCTTTTTCTGCCATTTGCGAACCCTATGTGAGCATATTGGAGGTTAAATTGGAGCAGATCGACCCACTCAGGCAGAATGGTTCTAGTGATTGCCCTCCAATTTTTTATAAACGTTCTTTCTTCTGGTGTTTCATTGGTAGCGATGCACTGAAGTGATCTGATTGAGTACGAGACGTTGAGTAAAAGGCATTCTCAATGTGTGACTCGCAAACTTTGGGATTTTGAAGCAAGTAAAATAGTCATTCACTAAGTCTGCTTCAAATGCTCGATTTGTCCTTGGGATCGCACGGAGTCCTACTAGTCGCCACTCCTTTATCTCGGAGGAATGCTGAACATAGTTCGACATAGATGACGACCTCCGATCGGTGTCGATGTACGAAAGAGTATCTAATGTGGTAAAGAACTGGCACAAATATCTAGTGGCCGTTTCGACAGTGATCAGTACGGGCAAATGCAGATAGAAAACTAAAACACTCGTCAGTAATCGTTAACAGCTAGCGATTGTGGCTCACCAACGGAAGTGGACCTTTGAGGTCGATTGGCAATCGCTCGAACGGCTGGGTAGCTGTTTCTGGCGCGAGTAAAGCGCGATAACTGAGAAACACCGGGACGACAGTGACACATACAGTTCGACAGTTGTTACCAGGACCCACAGCAACTACGAGAAAGCGTATCCGCCGCTCCGTTTTCTTTACCAGGTGGGTAAAAAATATGGAATGGCCACAGCTCTAACTTAAACTTTGGATCTTGTCATTGTTCGCCTTCTCCTTTTGTTGATTACCGCGAATAAAGGCAGCAGAATGCTAATCTGTTATGAGTTTACGACGATTACAGAGAAAATACCTCCATTTGCATACGGATTACGCTACAGCGTACGCTTCTTTTTCGACACTAACATAACGTCGCTCATTTTCGAATCAACAACGCTAAGAGAACGCTACCGGTCCTCCATTCTGGTTCAGATTGACAGCGATCGCACGTCCTAGCATCGGTTTCGAGAACCAACTGAACGGTAGTTATTGTGGCTTTTGCAAGTTCTTTCTTAAAAGCCGCAAAGACCTCCACTACCTTGAGTAATAAAGGGAAAGTTTTGTTATGATTGAGTAGACGAGTTTTATTCAAAAATGAGATACCTGTTGCAATTGGTATGCGAACAAGCCCACGGCTCATTGTTAAGACTTTAGATCATGCAAAGGAGCCATTTCACGAAAGGGCTTAAGCGGTCCGGATCTGGTCTTATTTTTCCCTTTGACACCTCTTAACCAAGAAACTTTCTTTGCCTAGCAGAAATGACGCCTTTGGTTTCATTGAATGTTAGTCCATACTTTTCGGTCGCGCTTAGGTGATTTTGGAGGTTTAAGTCATGTTCTGTGAGGCCGTTCCCGCAAATGGTGATATTGTCCACGCAGATTAGAATATCCTTTCTGTGCCCACGCGTAATTGTGCCGTCGGTCGTTGCCTGGAAACATTCAACCCCATTGGTCACACCAAACGGGATTCGACAAAACTGGTACAAACTTCCACATGTTTGAAAGGCAGTGTAGGATCTTTCCTCTGGCTGGATAGTTACCAGGCGACAGACTCTCATAAGCACAAGAGTGCTATACGCGTCGTAGTTTGCAATATATTCGGTCTTTTCGTCCATTCCGAGGAAGGGATAGGCATCCAGGAGTGTGTATTTGTTGATCGCTTGGTCATAGTCAGCAACCATCCGATTTCGTGGTTTTTATTAGTTACCACTAGAACTTAGGCTTACCAAAACGAAAATGAATGCTCAAGTACTCATTCAGACAAAAGGCCACGAATTCCTGATATAAATGTTATGTTACTGTACCTACGAGCTTTTGCTGCGATAGGCCTGCAGTGCGGGGGGATTCGACGCAAGCGGGGGCCGCAAAATATGCTGAGAACGTAGGTTTTGGTCCACCAAAAGGGATTTCAACACCTGCGAAGTCGAAGAAAGTCATGGCCAAGTGGAACATCGGCGCACAAATCCGGCAAGACTGA